AATCACGATTAAAAATTTTAACACCACACATAGCAAGTGGGTGGCAAAAAGGCATTCATTTTCATTAGAAGGGCACAAGTTTGTTGCAAATACATTCGTAATAACGCTTGTCCATTTCCAACCCATCTTTCACGGTATAATCTATTATTTGCAATTAATATGATATGTTTGCTTCTCGATCTATAAACATGCGTAAAACTGGAAAAAAAAACTTGAACCATCTATTTTTTATCTCGGTTTATAATTACAATCATATTATCACTTTCACGTCGATCAATTGCATAATAGATTGAAGAGCTATATTCAACCCAAAAGTTACTGCAAAAGCCTATGCAACATCTAATGCACGTGCCCGCGAGTGTAAAAATAAGCAATCTCCAAGTAAGCAAGAAAATCAACTGCACTACTTTAAAATGAGTAAAAAAATAATACTTCCTTTGTTTTTTTTTTTTAATATTTATAATACTTTTCTTTTTACTCATGCCGGTGTATTATTTCAATAACTAATATCTTTAATTATCAATATGTAAAAATTATATACATTTGATATTAAAATAGTATAAATTGAGACGAATCAAACAAAATTTCACGATACTATATTTTTTCTTAGCTATGAATCACCAATATTAGTTAAAGCTAAGTGAAGCTGGTTTAAAAAAAAAAAAAAGTTAAAGTGAAGCTAATGAATATTGTAAAAGTCAAACTGTTACAAGTATTAAAAAATAGAGGAAGTACATAGTAAAAACAACAAAGTTGAGCGAAAAAAGTGCACATACCACTGTGTACGCTCGAATGCATATAATTAGCTTCACTAGAATTTTTCCTTATATGTTAGAATTGTTACGCATAAAACTCAATCATATTCATGTATGTAGTTTTATTTTTCATACTTCTTTTGTTCCTTTTTACAATTGTTCTTGACATTATTAAAAGGAAAATTTGATTTAAATAATCCAACCTTTAACGTATTTGTTTTTAATAATCCAACATTTTGATTATTATACAATAATTCAAGCTTTGTGGGGTGTTCTATTTTATTAGGCCATGTAGGTCACTTAACCTATAATAATATGTCACCTACCACGTGTCGCATTATTATTTGTCCAGATTTTTTTTTTTTTTATTTAAAAAAAACTTTTTTTTTTCCTTTCCTCTTCACCTTCTTCCTCCAATCCTCCCTTCCACACCTCCATGATTGGCTACCCATTTTCGGCCAGACCTTTGCCCACCAAACCTCAACCTCACCTCCGGCAGCAAGGAACCCCAATCCACCAGCCACCACCTTGGTCGAAACACGACACCCCAAACCCAGAAACCCGACTTCGAATCCAGAAACACCCACCCACCATCGAAACTATGGAAAACCGTACCCCTAGCCACCGCCGATTTTTTTAAATTCTCTATCCTTCAAATCTCTCTTCTTCTTTCTTTCTCTCTCTGTTTCAATTTCCCTCCATTTGTAGGAGATTTTCGATCTTCAAAACCTTAGAATTTACCCCTAATTTAGGTCGATGTTGTTGTAATTGGTGGCTGCTTGCGGTGGTTTAGCGATGGCGGTCATGGTGGTGGTGAGATGTTACGGCCACCGTTGGTTGTGGCCAAAGTGGGTGGTTGTTGTGAATTACTTGAACGACTGTTGTTCGAGGCTGCGCTGTTGAATGGGTGCTTTGGTTGAAGTATGGGCAGTGGTGCGGTGGCGATGAGGGCTGTGTGGTGGTTTCAGGCGAAAGAGGAGAGAGGTTGTATGGGGGTTGTCGGTTGGAGCAATAAGGCGTGGTATTCTAGTGGCTGGGGGTCATTGAGTGGGCTCCAACCCAGTGACGGTGGTGTTGCGGTGGTGGCAGCTATGGGGTAGGAGAAAAAGAGAGGAGGGTGGTGGGTTTGGGGAAGTGGGAAAGGCTGGGGAAGGGTGAGAAATGAAGGGTTTTTTTTTTTCCCTTTATTTATTTTGATTGAATTTTTTAAAAAATGAAAAGAGGTTTAAAAAAAAGGAAAAAAAAACCGGTTCATCAGGTAAGTGGTCATTATTGGCCTGATAAAATAGAATGAGATATAAAGCTTGAATTATTGTATAATAATCAAAAGGTTGGATTATTAAAAATAAATACGTCAAAGGTTGGATTTTATTTAAATCAGATTTTCCTTATTAAAATGATGTCCTTTGATCTTTACAATAGATAACTTTATTCATTAATATCTCTAATTGTTATGAGTAATAGGTAATAAAAAAATAATAATACTTCGTAGATGATATCATTTATTAATTTAAATGATGTTCTTTATAAAATAAATAAATTAATCTCAACATGATTCCACGCAAATTATTATTGTTATTATGTACGAATCATAAAACACAAAAGAAACACACAAATGGTGTGGTTCAAAAATAAAATTTGATCAAGCGAAAAATAACAAAAATAACTTTCATGTATTAATGTTAAGCTTAATTGATAAACTCTTCATTGCATGACAATTTCCCTTGGACTGTAACTCCTTAATAATTACATAATAATAAAGTTAGTAAGAAATTAAACATTACTCCATTTTTATTTTGTACATTAACTCATAAAATTGTAATCATAGAGTAAAAGATTTTTGTGCATTATGGAGTAGTATATATTTTGACATCAAATTTATAAAGATTTAATTTATAATATTTTTATGATTTTAATGTAATTTTTTTTTTCTTATAATCAAATCAACTCAAACAAGCAACAAACTACTTAAGCTATCATATTAAATAAATACTAGAAAAAAAAAACACCACTTAAACTCTCAATGACAAACAAGCCAAAATATATATAGTTCAATTAAAGTAATAAAATTATAATGACCCGGGACATCGCCCCGACCAATAACTAGTTTTTATTGTTATTATGTACGAATCATAAAACACAAAAGAAACACACAAATGGTGTAGTTCAAAAATAAAATTTGATCAAGCGAAAAATTAAAAAAATCATACTCCCTCCGTGTTTTAATAAGTATTACAGTTTGACCAAACACGCATGCTGGAACACAACTTTGACCATTAATTTATCTAATCTTATGTTAATAAAATTATAGGAAAATGATATTCTAAAAAAATACGTTATAACGAAACCAATAATGTATTATATAATAACATTTGTTTTTTATATATTAGTAAATTAATCAAGGCAAACTCATTAATAAAAAAAGTTAAATTATAACACTTATTAAAATATGAAGAGAGTAATAAAAAGCCCATTGAAAAAAATGAAGTATACATACATTGATACATATTTCCTCAAAAGGTCAAAATCGTCGAGAATTAAAAATATAACATATTGAATTTGTAAACCAGAAATTTCTATAATATTCATCCTTAAATATTTTAAAATTTTAATGAAATTTCTTCGGACGGCCATTTTAATTTGAACAGTTACTTCCGTCTTATCTAATTTCTAATCAAGTCACCATTACAATTACCTTGACAAATGCAATTTGCCTTACTCTTTCGTAATTACAAGTGTCTTTGTTAATTAATTCGTAGTAGTTCAATAGTTTATCATAATTCACAAGGATGAGAGGATCTAGGAGATGGAGGATGGTTAGTCCCTCCATCCCCCACTGAGTGACGGGGTTTCGAACCTTGTTTATCTCCCCTCCTGTGGTAGGTGGGGGTTACTCGTACACCTTATATGTAAAAAATAAAAAAACAAACATGGATGATAGCTCTATTCCTCGATACTTCACTCTTTAACTCTAATTTGATTAGCAGTTTGCACAATAACTACTCCTTCCGATTTTTATAAGCCAGGGTCGGAATTTTCCACTATCATTTATCATAATTGATTTAATATTTTTTACAAATACATACTTCCTCTGTTCTTTATTACTTGACCCGCTTTGACTTTTACACTATTCACCACCCCTCCTTTAACCGTCTTTTGTGAATAATATGTTAGGAAAATATATTCATGTATGATCTTTTTGGATTCGTCTCAATAAGTATTATCATAATGTATAACTTTTATAACTTTTACTTATAGAGAATTTAAGTTATTGATCGTTAAAGTTTTGCATTGACAAGCGTGATAAAAGAAATAGGTCAAGTAAAAAAAACAGAGGAAGTAATATATAAATATGATCATATAATATATTGTTACATTTGTCATAATGTCTACTTTTATGCTGTAATTAAATTTTTTCATAATTTTTACTAATCTCTAATTAAATATATTAATGGTCAAGATTGTGTCTCAAAAAATATGTTTTTATATATATATAAGAAACATAGGGAGTATTGTAATTTGTATATCCCCCAAAATATATGGTTAATCTTAAATGTATATAAAGAGGGATTAGGTAATGAGAGGCCTCAACCTTCCCCATGCATGTCGTGAACTCGTGATGTACTTCTCCTTTTTTTTTCTTTTACTTTTTTTTTTTGTTTTTAATTTTCAAAATTTTCACACCAATCATTTTCTAACATGTCATCATTAAAAAACAAACGGTATGTATTTAAGGTCTGTTTTGATTTTTTGAATTGAAATGTAGAGCTGAACTAACTGAATAGAGCTGAATTGAACTGAACTGAACTGAATTAAATAGAGCTGAAATGAATTATTTATGAGATAAGGAAAGTAGAAACTGAACTGAACTGAATTGAAATTAAGCTGAAAAGAACAGACACTTAATAGACTACCGATCATTTAAGACTAATAAAGGCGAAATCCTTTTAAAATTAGAATTATTTTAAAGCAAACACAAAGTTAAAATTATTTTTACCAATTTTTCCAAAGAAAAATACGAGTACAGATTAAATCAGATACGTAGTAAATTGTACATAATGTTACACACACAAAAAAAAAAGAAAAAAAAAATAATTTGAACACAACAATCACGTGAGCTTTAATTTTGGGCCAAATTGATCACCCAATAAAAGAGTGGGCCTTAGATAAAGAGCGGGCCTTTCATAAAGTTGGGCCAACAATTATGCTCCTCGTCAAAAATTAAAATTTTTACAAAAAGCAATGAATCTGGATTTCTTCTTCTCCAAGTCGCTTTTTCATTTCGCCAAACATTAAAATTAACAAAAGTTAAATAATAATTCTTCACTTTTTTTCTCTCAAATTCTCACTCTCTCTCTCTCTACTCTTCACTAGATCTTCATCTCTTCATCATTTCTTTCGGTAAGCAATGAAATCACGCTTCATTTCCAGGTTTTCATTATTAATGGCGGATTTCATCAGATTCAATTCGATTTGATTTTTGATTTTTGTTGATGTTGTTTGATTCAGGGTTTTAGCGAATTGGGGAAATTCTTAGAGGAGAGAGAAAACCTTAAAAATGACGAATGGAGCATTTGAAGTACCTGCAAAAGGTGGATTTAGCTTCGATAATTGCAAAAGGAATGAAATGCTGTTGAGCAAGGGTCTTACAGCTCCTGGTTTCCTCAAAACTGGTACCACTATCGTCGGTCTTGTTTACCAGGTTTAACTTTTTTCATCATTTGATTAATTTACGCTTTAATTATGTTGATTTTTGCATTATTAGTCTGTTTTGATTGTATGTGATTAGGGTTTTTATTTGTTGTTGATCTTATTAATGTTATGATTTCTAAGCTATGATTAGGTGAATGAGATGGTATAAGAAATGATTCTATTGTAGCTGTTCAATTTTGGAGGGAACAAAGGTTGCTAATTGGGAGTTTACTTTTAATTATAAATGGAATTAATCAAGTAAATTTGGTTAGGTTATTAGTGGGTTGGTTGTATCTTGGTGAATGGTGGAATAGTGTGTAGCTCTTACCTTCTAATGGCAGGATTAGTGGATTCAGTTGAGAGTAGGCTAAACCGTTCGAAGTTGCTTGTTGAAGATGAAGAAGCTGCTTAGATTAGGTTAGATGTATGATTTAGAGTGATCAAATGATGCACCAATGTATGGAATGTGATTGACCTCAATGGACTGAGCAATCACGCAGTAGTCATACGACCTTGAGTTAGAGAAAAGAATCCTTTTGATTAATTTCCAGTAATTTGTTCTTCTGCCTGACTGACTTGTTTGGAGAGTAGTGTTTGTATATCATTTTATTGGTTTTGACCTTTTAAGCTTGTACCTTTTGGTTCTGATAAATACTTGTATTTCTCACATCTGGATGGGAAAATGTCTGCTAAGTGCTAACATGTTATTTTAGGGAGGAAGAAAGTCTCTAGTTATATGTACTCTATGTCTTTATAAAATTAAGTCATCAAAATGAAAAATGCCCCAATTTGGTTTTCCTGTTGAGATATAATGTTGTTGCTTGATCACCCCTCCTTGCTAAAATTTGATTAAGCATGGCCAACTTTTTTAGGATGGTGTCATTCTTGGAGCTGATACTAGAGCTACAGAAGGCCCCATTGTCGCTGATAAGAACTGTGAAAAAATTCATTACATGGCACCAAACATTTACTGCTGTGGTGCAGGGACTGCAGCTGATACAGAGGCTGTAACTGGTAAGCACAAATTTTTGTGTGGCTAAGTGTTGATTACAATATGTTTCTTGTGGATCTTGCCTGATGTGTGTCTTTAAATGTTAGTCCTCTATTGTTGTCTATAGAAACTTAAAATATTGCCGAAGTTCTATCTTTTCACATGCCCGTGCTGATTAAATTTTTCTTGGAACCAAGAATATTGCCTTTTGAACTATTCCATTGGAAGTTTTTTTTGTTATTTTTTATTTTTTAAACAAAAACAAAAACTTTTGATTCACATAAGATGTAAAGGTTGTCAATTATCATAATGTTTACTGCTTGATTTGGTATTGGTGCACCGTGCACCCTATCAATGAGAACCAAAGAATGTTCATAAATTATACTCTTTTGACTCGAGATCTTTTTCATTTTTCAAGGGAAGGTTGTGATAAGGATCCTCGTTATGTTTACAATTTCTATTGTCATCTGTAGTTTTAGTCTTTTAGAGTCTTGTTTCTTTCGTTTTTCCTGAGTTAGAGTCAGATTGAATGTAAAATTTTACGTCAAATGCCTTGGTGATCTAATCTGTGAACCATTATCTCACGTTAATCCAAAGAGAGTTGGCACCCACTTAGTAATTAATGAAGAAAACTGGCATGAATCCTTTTTGCTCCATTAGAAGAGCTGGCTTAGGCTGGCTGCTCAGCTATGTTAGTGGAAGTCTAGTACATGATTTAAGGTGCCTTTTTTACCTGAAGAAATGAGGGAAATTCCCAATATTAGAGGCTGGCATCTGAATTTGTCTTGGACTTATTACTTTTTATATTATTACATGAACCTTATCACAATCTGTTTAGTTTAGATTAATTTTTCCTTGTTCTTCTCTTTTCAATATATTGGTTCGTCGATCTCTCCACTTTTTCCATATCTTGAAGAATGTGTGGATATTGTCGAAGATCTTTTATACTAGTAGGTTTATAGCCTTGTGCTGTGACTCTGAAGTGCGTCTATTGCACTGCTCTTATGAAATACCGGTTGTGTTTGATAAAGAAAACAAGAAATTCAGTGAAGGGATTAAGGCCAGCTTTGCTACATGATTAAGAACCTTGGATAATAAGCAAGTGCCATAGGTTTTCAACCTTGTTAATAAAGCTATAGTTTGTGAAAGGAAGACCTATTTTTGGTATGCACATAATATTCGGGATTTGGCATCAGTATACATTGTGAAGGTGAATTGCTTGATAAGGTTTTATGATATGTACAAAGGAGAGTAAAGAGTTCTAGGTTATTTGCAATGGGTAGAAATCTGTGGTAGCTTTGAATATATGAGAAAAAGTTGTGGAAAAGATTCTTCTGGAAAGCTTGATATTTCTCAAATGTTATAGCCAATTATATGAGAGAATGAATGTCATGGAAGACTGAATGAGGATTACGCTGAAGTTTTCAGTTATTAGTTTAGAGTTTGGTTGCATTTGGGCTAGATTAAGAAATTGCTACGAAAGAGATTATGGACTATAATGATGTATTAAGGGAAGATGAAGGATAATTAGTGAAGAACAAGCTAGATATGACTGAATAAATGCCAATTACAGCCTTGCCAAGAGGAATGGCACTCTCTCAAAGCTACCAACCAGTAACTTATCTGTTATCACAATATCCAACATGCTTTCTCCTTCCCCAAAACTCTGTATATATAGGCTAACTATGTTCCCTCATCATGTTGCTCAAGTTAACTCTAATTTAATTTTTTTACAACTAATTCTGCATTGCCTAGTCTACTCCTTCCCATAGGCTAATTATTTTTATGAAATAATTTTTTTTTCCACCATATATGACCCTTTAATAATTTTTGTGCCACAATATATGACCCTTTCAGTTTTTTTTTTTTATTTTTTTTATATATTTTTTTTATTATTATTTTTAAAAAAAAAAATTCATTTATAATTTTCCTCCTTTCAAAACTTTGATTTTGGTGTGGATTCACATTTCAGGCATGGGCTCATGCTTTATTGTTTCTTGTTATTATGGAGTTTTCTGGTTTTTACATATGTAATATGTTGATGCTAGGAATTGTTCGATTTGATGTAGAGGTGTGCGGGATTTTTAAGTTTTATGAGAGAGAGTTTAGTTGATCAAGGTGATTGTTAGGTTGATCAACTTCATTAGATTTCAAAATTATCTATGCAGCCCAATCTCTTAGGAGACATTGAATGTAGATTACATCATTACATTTAGAGAAGGGGGGAGGGGAGGTTGCATGTTACTGGCCAAAAATAGACTACCTCTGTTTTCCATTATGTACAACAAACTTTATTGCAGATTTTCCTAGACCAAACTTTTAAGGGGGTATTAATTAAAGAGGTAGTAATTATGAGGGAAGAAACACCATCATCCCACCAAAAACTTAATTGCACTCTCTCTCTCTCCTAAAAAAAATCCTTTTAAGTTTCACCATTGGAGATGGTCTAAAACATGTATTGTTTAATGTTTTGAACCAAAATAAAAACAGTCATCAAGAAAACATCAAATCGAAGAAGATGAAGTACTTATAGCCCTTGTAGGTCGAAAGAGAAGAACATGGAAAAGGTATAGATCAAAGACAAAGAAGAAGATGACGAAGATTGAAGACGAGATTGAAGATAATGGTGGTGCTACTAGGGTTGATGGTGTTGTTGCTTGATGGCGGTGTTGTAAAAATTTTAGTTCTGATGGTTGGTTCTAGGTAGAAGTAGATGAGAGAGATCGAAAGTTGTGGTTCAAGATTGAAGTGAGAGATAGTGTTGGTGGTCAAAGTGGTGCTTGTGTATTGGTGTCTGGTGGTGGTCATTGATCAAGGTGAAGGTGGTTGTAGGTAAAAGAAAAAGATAGTGGGGGAAGAAGAAGAGAGAGAGGGGTCTATTGATTTTTGGGTTGGTGGCTTTACTCATATTTTTTATTTTTAATTGGGGGTATTATGGTAATTTAATTTTTAAAATCTTTCCAAAAAAGGAAAGAAACAATTTATTGCACATAATGTGTAGCATTCATTTTGGGTAAATGTTGCACGTAATATGAAACGAAGGTAGTATGCTCTTTGTGACATATAGTGGATAATGGTATAAGACTAGTTTTGGCATTTTGCAACTGCTTTGCAAACAGTCAAATTGATTGACCTGACAAAGCTATTTCCTTGCTATTCAACGTCTAAAGCTTTAATCTCCATGGCTTTGAAATTGTTTGTGGATAGTTATTTTGGCCAACCAAATGATGTCATATCATCTGCTGTTTATGTTGGAGATGCTTTAACTATGGTCCCTCTTATAGGTGACACAAATGTTTGTTGCCGCTGTATGCTCTTCTCAGTTTTGAGCATTATTGCTCTTTTGCTAAAATATCTTACTGTGAATTGAAATAGATGGCCTTCATCTAAATGTGGGTTGGTATGCAAGTTTATTCCTGTTGTGAACTTGGCTCTCGGCGTATGATTAACTGTTTCTCTGATCCATGGAAAGGTTAACCTGACTTGTAGAATAGTGCGATGTAAAATTCCATATAAGTTATTGTCTGATTACTTGCTTATTGATATTGACTAATTATGCTCTATATTGGTCTGGTGATTATGTATGTAGACATGGTTAGCTCCCAGCTTAAACTTCACAGGTATCACACTGGTCGCGAGTCAAGGGTTGTTACAGCTCTTACTCTCCTGAAGTCCCATCTTTTTAGGTAATTTTGTGATTTCTAAGAAATTCTCCTTAAAAGGATGAATATGTTTAAATGCTCATGCAACAAGACTGATCACCCTATTCTGTTTATTCTATGGTCAAGGTATCAAGGACATGTCTCTGCTGCACTTGTGCTAGGTGGAGTTGATGTCACTGGACCTCATCTACACACTGTGAGAACCTTTTTAGCTATTTAACTGAAAAACATGGCCATGCATATGCTAATTACTTCCATGCACAGATATACCCTCATGGATCAACAGACACACTTCCCTTTGCTACAATGGGATCAGGTTCTCTTGCTGCAATGGCTGTCTTTGAGTCAAAATACCGTGAAGGACTCTCTGTAAGTTGACAGTCCTTGATATTTAGCATTAAGATTAGTGTGTTTGTCTTAATTGTCTTTGATATGTGATGTCTGTGGAAATCCATTTTTTATAAAATCAGATATTGGGCAGTTGTGGTTAAAACAAAGTGACATAATTGTTTTATATGCCTTGCTTGAGTTGTATGTAAAGAAGCATGCCTCATTTCTTCTTTTGCATGCAGAGGGAGGAAGGTGTTAAAATAGTCTGTGAGGCAATCTCTTCTGGTATCTTTAATGACTTGGGAAGTGGAAGCAATGTGGACGTATGTGTCATAACAAAGGTCTGTAAATCTTAAACTCACATCTGTTGTATTATCCCCATGCATCTTGTGACACCCCCTGCTTTTGCCTGCTATAGTATCAGCTTATATTTTTGTTTTGTCTTGTGCTCCTTTCACAGGGAAATGTAGAGTATCTAAGAAATCATGTGCAGCCAAATCCTCGTACCTACACAAGTGCTAAGGGTTATACATTTTCTAAGCCTACAGGTGAAGTACCCAAACTCCATGAATTCTTTTATTGTGCCAACTTTCAGCTCATTCTTAACTGATGATTCTTTATTTCTAGTCGCATGTACTAAATAGGTATCTTGTAGTTTATACCACACAGATTGATTTAGAAATACTTATCTGGCTTTCATTGTTACTGTATGCTTGTTTGTGGTGTTGATATATATGTAGAATTATTACTCGTACTTATTAGGATATCACGGAGTCTGGAATTGTAAGATTGATTTTTGTTTATAATTACTGACTTGTCATTTGAGTATTACTCGTACATATGCTGCTTCTCAGTTGCATTGTCTCCGTATCTACAGTATTTGCTTAAGTACATTTTGTACTATTGTGTTTGCAGAGGTCCTTTCAACAAAGATCACATCACTGAGATTGACTGCCGAGGTGACTGAAGGTGGTGATGCAATGGAAGAAGAGTGATGGTGGTGATTGTAATCCTTGTATTCGTAGTTTGTTATTGCAACATGTTTCATTAAATTCTTAATGCAGATGCTGATCTTGAGTTGATGGCATCATGGCAGAATGGTTGTGTTCTGTGAAACTTGGTCACTCCTTTGCCTGCTAAATAGATGATAATGGATTACTTCATTTCCCTTTTCTGTCTGTCTTTCTCATGTCTCTCAGTCGTTTGATAGTTTAGGCAGCATTAGTAGACATATCATGTTGCTCTTTTCAACAAAAAAGATTATTCACGTGTAGAACAGTACAAGTTGGCTGGCCACATCTCCTCGGTGTTTCTTTCTCCTTGGCTCCTTGCCTCTCTATTATTACATGTTAACAACATTGATGGTAAAAGTGTTGCAATTTTAAAAATATGGATTACCTTTAGCACGGTTAATTTGTTCTTTGGAAAGATGAACATAATAGGTGCTCATGCAGTCGCGCTTGCTCTATTATAGCTACCATGATAATAACATTTCAGGGTGAATATTTCATCTTGTATATGTTTCAACAGTAAAAAGTTAAATTCTAGTGAAAGCCCATTGGTTGCCTTCTAATGACTTTGCCAAGGACAATATACTAGCCATTATTCTAGGGAATGAGATTACATCTGAAAATGTTTTTTTTTTCAGCTTGCTACTAGTAAAAATCATTAGCATTAGCAATCTTAAACCACTGGCTTCCAGGATCACACGTATTGTCGCTTCTCATACACTTGCATGTGGTGGTAACGAGATGGTTATCAGAATCCACATCCAAGCAAGCAGTAGTGTTCTTGCTCAATCTAGTTGCAAGATGGAGCTTTGAGGCTGAGATAGGAGCCCATGTCGTTCCTCTTCTCTGACAGTCGATGGTAAGCTTAGCACGACGGTTCAAACCCTTTGCCTTTAAGCAGAGGTATGAACCCTCTATGTCTAGGGTATATTGGGGCGTGTAGGTCCAATGGTCAGATTCAGAACAATTTCCAAGCTTTATTCCCATCACTGGTTTTTTTAGGATACAGAGTCCTGTTGACGGATGATATACGATCTTGTGTGAGTGGCGATATGAAGTTTCTGGACCTGCATATCAGACATTCAGAAGTTGTGCAGATTAGTAATGCACATTACAGAACGACGCCTCTATTATCAGTAATAGAAAAACAGGTTACCTTGAAGAGGGGATTGGATGACTGAGATCTTCTGCAAGAAGATTTTGTTACGAACATCAGTCCAATTCTGAGTTAGCAATCCAAAACGCTCATTTTTGCCAACTATTCCGTCTTTAGAACTATAACTCCCAGCCAATGTCCATAACGCCCAATCTAAGTCACGTTCAACCGCAAAAGCAAGCAAACAATTCAAGTATTTTGTGTCAGTCTGAGATATGCTACTCAAGGCTACACCCCACTCTCCTAAAAACAAAGGATAGCCTTGATCAAGTAGGAATCCAGCATTTTTCATCAGGTTATTGGTCATATTCCCACAAACTTGGTTCGCGTTCTTAGTCTTCCAATCTAGGCCTGCTGAGAAGGAATACTGATGTACCTCAAAAACTAACTTTCCTGTGAAACTTAGAGATACCGGTTTTGTTCTCAGGAAGCTTAGATCTGTGTCATAGCTTAGGCCGGAAAGAATTACTAGTACACTCGGGTTGGCTTTATGAACTGCCTCCGCTCCTCCTTGCATGTACCTTCATTTAGTTGATAGGTAATTAATTAGCCATTCATTCATAAGAAAACTAGCAAGTAGCAATTTATGTGTATCGTTCATCTGGATTAAATATATTGTACCTATACCAATCTTTCGTATTTTGCCTTGGTCCGCGGAGTTCATTCCTTAGACTCATACCAACAACGTATGGATTATCTTGGAAGAGTGCGGCCATTTTAGTCAAGCCTTTGATCCAAAGCTTAGGGTTGAAGTATTGATCACCAAAGAAGCCATTGCCGTCGTCATTACCACAGCACCACGCTGGTTTACTTACATGATTATCTAAAATTACCATAACATTATTCTTCGCTAGGCTTGCCACAATTGCCTGCATCAAGTAATTTATAAGCAAGTACTCCCTTTGTTGTGATTAGTCATCGTGACCAATCCTATTACTCGGATTCATTTACAAAAGTAAAAAAAAAATCGAGTCAAAGATAGTATGTGAATAGTGCATAAGTCAAAGTGATGCATTGAATAAAAAAAACAGAGGTTCAAAAATAATCATGAATGAATTAGACGTATGCTTTATTTTCAAATCTGGAAAATTAACACTCTAGTAGATATTCTTTGTGTACTGCAGGACCATTTATATATAAGTACTAGTATAATTTTGGCAAAAACTACAGGATTAGGACCATTATCTTTTGTTTGCGTTCTCTCGCTTTAATTTCTTTCCTACTTCATATAACTTTTGATAAGATGACTCATAATCATTTTATATAAAAATCTACCTTCTAGTATATGAACTCAAATATGTCAAGATAAATCAATAGGCTGTTGGTATAATATAGCAACATGATAAACGGGCCTAGGCCACACCGTCACAACTGTTCACTTTATACGACCAAGGAGGTTCCACCTCAAAACCATATGGCAATGAGGGGAGTTGCCCCTTAGCCTTATAAAGTGGACACGACTTTCTCTTTTCTTCAACGTGGGATACACATCCCAATATTTCTCCACTTTTATATTATTTCAATGTGGGACAATACTTTCACTCACATGGGGGTTTTCTCATAGGCTCAACACAACATAGCTTCCTAACCCTCCTACACGTTCTAGGCTTCTAGCTAATAGGCGTAAGGAACAAGACTTCAGAATCACCTTAAACGAACTTCATAATAAGATAATTACTACGTATTTATTATCAATATTTAGCATAATTCTATCTTGAAATATATATCACTAATTAAAAATGAAGTATTTCTTTTCTAATATCACCGTAATAACAAAATATATTTTCCTATATTCCTAATTCAGATGAGCATCTAATAGGAAAATTGGTAGATACTCCGTATTATAAGTTATTTATGCATGTGTAGATGTTCTTTTGCCTGTTTAGTCATTTAACTTCGTACAGTGTGAGACATTTAACTAATGCATGTGATGTATAATGTTGACTTGAAGCTACGATTATTAAGATCTACTATATACAGTTTTATGTAAAAAATATTATTATCGATTATGTATTTTAAGCTATTTATGCTTAAACTTACGTATCTAGATCTATATAATTTTATACTTCCTCTATTTTTTTTTTTTTTTTTTAATATAAATGTAATACATATTTTCGACGTGCTTTTTAAGGAGTTGATTAGAGTCGATAAACTAGTGTATTTAACAAAATAATTTGAACAGTGTGATTAGAAAATAATTTGGTTATTACATGTATAAATTATTTTTATTAATTTGTTCGTTTACATTACTATTTTAATCTTTTACTCAAAGTACGTGCTGTAAAAGAAAATGAAGGAAGTATTTATTTAGTTTTTCAAATGAATGGTATACAAAAGTAAAGAAGATCTCCCTATCTCAGGGAAGCAACATAAGCAAACCAAACGACAAGATTTATAGAATTGAAAGAAATAATTGTAACAAGAGAAGAAAGGGGGATTTTTTTAAAAAAAAAATACAAAGAAGAAATAAAATGAGATCTAGATAAAATAATTAAGGAGGAAAGAAATTTACCTGAAAAGCATCAATGAGGGAGAGGTCAATAATGGAGGGATTATTAGCTTGTAAATCAGCAACAATGCTATTGGAAAGACCAGCATTTAGAAAAGACTGTCTTACAGTTTGAGAAGCCAAGGTTTTATTTGTTGCCAAATAAATAGGATAAGTTAGTCTAACACAGTTAAATTTCAAGTCTTTTATTTTCTTTGATATTACATCAACTGGCTGTTTTGTTAGCCCTTCTGCCACCATCAACTCTAGGTGTGATGACCAGTTTATGCACGCCAGCTTTACGCGCTGCCCCGTGTTGTCGACAATCCATCGTGAATTCGTCGATAAGGGCAGCGCGTGCAATGTAGGTAGGAGGAAAGATAGGAGTGAAATGGTGAAGAGGAAAAAGTTTGTGAGCAAAAGTCTCCTCCCCATGTTTGTAGAATGTTTGGTTTGTAACAAGTTGTGAGGGAGGGTATATATATCCTTCTTAGGCTCTGTTTTCCTCGTCGGTCTAATGACACTTTATATAAGGTCTTAAGGCTCTTCAACTTAATTTCAGTTCAGTTCAACTCTAATCAGTTCAATTGAGCTCAGTAAATCAGAACAAGCTCTTAGCCGTATACCTCTATTTCTAAATGTTTGTCCCATTAGGTATTTAGCTCACATAATTTCCAATAGACGTATTTAAATATATCAAATTACGCATCAAAATTTTATATAAATTGAATATTTATTTGGAAACTAAAAATCTAATAAATCGAACAATAAGATTCTACAAAGACTATATTTGCTTAAGTATGATAATTCATTATTATTTCAGATGGGACAAACAAAAGAAAATGGAGGTACGAACAATTAATTAAGAACAGTAAGTCTGAGAGACCGTCATATATATTAAATATTCTTACTCGTACTAGTCATGTAACACCATAGGCTTACTAAGCTAAATTTTAAATAAGCTTTAGTAAACCAATGCCAAGAAGTATTTTAGACGGGCAGTGCCCAATAATTAAGCTCCATACTTTTAATTTTTATAAACTTGACCAATCTCAAAGTTAAAGTCCGTGATCTACGTGCTAGCTAATCAAGGAATCATCTGTATATATGGCTATTAAATACTTCTTATATGTTTGGCCTTAAATAGTATGGAGTAATTACAAACTATAAAAGACAAGAAAACAAAATGACTCCTAAAACATAATAAAACTAACAAGATTTCTAATATAAATAAAATTTATCCTAAAAAAAAATAATTCTAATTGCTTGAAACACGAAAAACCCACTCAAGTGAATGGTAAAAACGTGTAAGCCAAATCTAGACTAAAATAGGTTTCTAATATACCGGCTATTCTAGAGAATAATATCACATCCGAAATTATAACTTTCAACCTAGTTAGTAGTAACAGCATTAGCATTAGCATCAGCAATCTTAAACCACTGGCTTCCAGGGTCACACACGTTGTCGTCGATACTTAAACACTTGCAAGCGGTTGTAATTAGAGTGTTATTAGAATCTACATCCAAACAAGCAACAGAGTAGTCGTCCAATCTAGTTGCAAGATGGAGCTTCGAGGCTGTGATCGGAAGCCATTTCGTTCCTCCTCCTACACAGTCTGTGGCAAGCCTAGCACGACGATTTAAACCTTTTGCCTTCAAACAGTGGAATGAATCCTTGATGCCAATGGTCAGTTCGGGTGTGTAGATCCAATGGTCGGATTCAAAGCAACTTCCAAGCTTAATTCCCTTCACTGGATCTTTTACAATGCATTGTCCTGTTGATGGGTGAAATATAATCTTGTGTGTGTGGCGGTATGTAGGATCTGGACCTGCACATCGACAAATAGTTGGTTGTGTAAAACTGTTTGGTAAATACTGTATGTAAATCCATGTACATAATAGTTATATGCCATAATTGAGGTTACTTCATAAGTGTTATAGGGGTTATTCGTTCAGTATTACAATGGATACGTGGTCATTGGTCAGTGTTACATGATGACTCGGTCAGTTTTATAGGGGTTACTTTTCTTTTACAAATTACAACCGGACACATGGTATGACCAGCTGCTTACAGATGATATATAGAAAAACAGGAGTGTTACCTCGATGAGGGGATTGAATAACAGAGATCTTCTCCAAGAAAGTTGTGTTACGAACATCAGTCCAATTCCATGTTAGCAATCCAAAAACTTCATTATCTCCAATAATTCCTTGTCGAAGATTATAGCTCCCAGTCAATGTCCACAACGCCCAATCTAAGTCATGTTCAACTGCTAAAGCAAGAAAACAGTTAAAGAATTTCCTGTCATCCTTAGATGTGCCACTCAATGGCAAACCCCATTCTCCTACATACACAGGATAGCCTTGTTCAAGTAGAAATCCGGCATTGTTCATCAGGCTGTCTGTCATATTTCCACAAACTTGGTTCGCGTTATTGTCTCTCCAATCTAGCCCTGCTGAGAACGAGTACTGATGTACCTCGAAAGCTAGCTTTCCTGTGAAACTCAGAGATACCGGCTTTTTCTTCAGGAAGGTTAAATCTGAGTCGTAGCTTAGCCCGGAAAGAATTACTAATACATTTGGGTTGGCTTTGTGTATTGCCTCTGCTCCTCTTTGCATGTACCTTCATTGATCAATTCATGCACATCTTATTTCAGTATAATCATGTGAATAATTTCTAGATTAATTTATCTTAGAAATCTATGATGGTTAGGTTTCAATCCCCTCTCAATTGTTGTTGTGGGGATCGAACACGGGTCCTCCCTATCAAGTGTAGTCCCAATCACCACTACACCAACAAACCAATCATGTGTATAATTCATCTACAATTGTCAAGGGCCAAATATTCATAATTAGGTTTATTTTGTACAATTATTTGAACTTCGGTTACTTTGAATCTCACATTGGTTAGTAGTTAGTTGCAATTTTTTTTTTCTTTTATTATCATTATTATTAAGATGTAATAAAATTTGATCTTATAACCTTAAGTTTTTATATTGACCGAGTAATTAAATTTATTTATTTTTATTTTTTTGGTGAAGAGTAATTAATTTAAAAGTACAAAAAAAAAAACAAAGATATTGTAGATTTATTATTACCTATACCAATCGTCAGCATTTTGCCTTGGTCCGCGAAGTTCATTCCTTAAACTCAAACCAATAACATACGGGTTATCACGGAAAAATAGTGGCCATTCTAGTCAAGCCTTTGATCCAAACCTCAGGGTCGAAGTATTTATCACCAAAGAACCCATTTCCATCTGTCATTGAACAACACCATTGTGGCTTACTTACATGATTATCCAAAATCACCATAACCTTATTCTTCGCTAGGCTTGCCACCACCGCCTGCATTAATCATAACCAAATATGTTACATACTTGTGCAACGTACTGTCTTTATTCGAAATTAATAATCACGAGAATGTCTAGAAAAACTTATGACGTTTAATTTCAAAAGAAAATTGCCTATATATATATCTCTAATAATCCCCAGTTGTAAAATAATGCTCACATGATTGACCTGTACTTGTGCATTGTTCTGAGTAGAATAAACACTCTAGTAGATATTTCTAGTACACTATAGGACCATTTACTTTTTTCTTTTACGTTTTTAGCAAAAACTATTAAGATTAGGACCATTTTCTATTTTTGAATTCTCACTTTTGACAGATTATATTCCTATAATCTGTCACCCCTATTGTTATTTTGTTTTTATGGATAAAAACAAATTCAAAATAATCTCTTTTTTTAAAATATTCTTTCAGCAGTAAGTTTCTAGTAGTACATGAACTCAATTATGTCTTTATACAAATCTTAGTGATATTTAGGGGTGGGACTTCGGTCTGGCAGTTCGGTTTGACCTCAGTTTGAAACGGTTTCGGTTTGAAACGGTTCGGGTTAAAACGGTTTCATTTAGACGGCGGGTCGGTTCAGTTCGGTTTTGATTAGTCACAGGTCGGTTCGGTTTCGGTTTATTTTTGTACGATTTAAATTCGGTTCGGGTCATAAACGGTTCGATTTATAAACAGTTCGGGTCATAATCAGATCGGTTAGAAACGGGTCGCTTCAGGGGCGGATTTACTCGGGTCAATGCCGGTTCGGTTTTTAAACGGTTCGGTTAATAATTGGGTCGGTTTGAAACAGGTCGGTTCAGGGGCGGGTCAATGCCCATTCGGTTTATAAACGGTTCGGGTCATGATCTGACCGGTTTGAAACGGATCGGTTCAGGGGCGGTTTTACCGGGTCAACGTCGGTCCGGGTTCATAACGGTTCGGGTCATGAACGGATTATTTTGAAATGGGTCGGTTCAGGGGCGGGTTTACCCGGGTTAATGCTAGTTCGATTCATATCGGTTCGGTTTATACTCGGTTTGGTGCTAAAATCGTTCGGGTTAGTTTGGTAATCGGTTAAATTGGATCGGGTTGAAATCGAGTTCTAAAAAGTGGTTTTGACCAGTTAGCGCGTTTTGTTTTATATCAAGTTGGGACTAGTATTTCCATTTCATTAGCGGGTCGGCATAGGTTGGTGAAAAAAATAATGGATCGAGTAGAAATTGGGTTTTAAGAGATTTTTGACCGGTTAGCTATTTTCGTTTTATATAAAGTTGGGACTTCGTCACTTTATTTTCAGACATCGGATTATATACAATTACACAAATCTTCATTTATTCAATTATTCTATATCATGTTAATATGTTACGTTTCAAGTTTGGTTATACTCTTGTTGTTGTTTATTCGATATTATCATATTAGTCTATTACAAATTTATAATGTATTATTGTTTCATTATTAAATATATATTATTAGGTTATCAGCTTCTTGTTGGATTGTTTTAGATATCGTGTCATGACCATGTTTTGATGAGTTGCTACTTTGAATACGATAAATCGATTCAGATATCAGATTATATAGAATTACAGAAATTCTCATTCATTCTATATCATGTTAATGTGTTATGTTTCAAATTTGGTTATAGTCTTGTTGTTGTTTATTAAATATTAGTCTATTACAAATTTATAAGGTATTAATGTATTATTGTTTCATTATCAAATATTATCAGGCTATCAGCTTCTTGTTTTAATTGTTTTAAAGATCGCGTCATAACCATGATTTGATGAATTGGTACTTTGAATACGATAAATCGATAATTGATATTGTAATAAACTAATAATTTAATGTTACGGAACTATATTTGGATGTTTAATTAAAATCACGATTATTCAATTTCCCATTAGTCTAATAAAGTAATAATTGACAATTGTTTGTAACTATTCCATAATTTTGGTGTTAAAGTTATATTGCTGAATTACTTTGTTGTCTTACCCTCTCTAATCACCTTTTAAGATTACGTGCCTACAAGGCTGCAACATATATATGTTGCAGCTTGCAAGTTAAAGAAGACGGGTGGGGAAGTAGAAGTATTCAATTAGATCGATCATCAACTGTTTTAAGTTTTAATATCAGATACATTTATCGATTATCTATACATACCAATGATAGTATGATACCAATCGTACCATACATTATTATTTATTACATATACTGATATACATATAACTAATATACATTAAATATGTCATATTGAATCAATTCCAATTTCCAAACATTTGTGTTTCTTACAATTTATAAGTTACATAAAGTTAAAGAGTACAGTAGTGTTTTTATTTGTACGTAGCTATGAATAAAAAAACATACTATCCAAATCCATTATCCCATGATCTGTGTCACCGTCTTATATTAAATATCAGCCATTGATTTGCATGTCATCTAACGACCTATCATCGCACACATTCCAATTCACGATCCGTGTGTTTTCTTTTCCACCAATCAGATCACTCTTACCATCGTCTCTTTAGTACTCTTTTTGATTTCTCTCTCGTTTTCTTAATCCTCTTCTGTAATATTATCAATTTTTTGAAGCCATGGCTGCTAATATGCTCACTGCTCTCTCGTTTTCTCTCTCATCTCCTCTTCCTTCTTCCTTTCTTCTTATTCCTTCTTCTCCCTTCTTCCGTCTATGTTCTCCTTTCTTCCATCTCGTTTCTCCGTCTCCGTCCACCAGCACCACGCACGACGGTTTTTATGGTCAAATTCGACCACAAAACTCTAGATCTAGTTGTTTCATGATCGAATTTGGCCTTTTAAAACCAAATTCGAGGCCAAATTCAGGATTAATATATAAGGTGTTTTCGTTCTTCCTTTTTCTATTTTCTGTTTTTCTTTTTAATTTTTTTTCAAGTTGTGGGCAACGGAGGGGGCCGAGTTAGGGTGGGTGCGGCGGCGGTTAGACTGGGTTCGGGTGGGTGGGGAGGGAGGATTTTTCGAGGGAGGGAGGGAGTTTTATGGTGGGTGAGCAATTAGAGTGAGTTGGGGGGTTTCGAGGATGTTGGGTTTCGTGGGGGTGGGTGGGGTGGGGTTACGGTGGGTTTGGGTTTTTTTTCGATTTTTTTGTATGGGGTGGGGTGGGGTGTGTTACGGTGACGGTGGTGGGTGTGGTTGGGGTTGGGTCTGGTTTTTTTTTTTTTTTTTTTTTTACAGTGACGGTGGTGGGTGGGGTGGGGTGGGGTTTGTTAAGGGGGTGGGGTGGGGTACGTTACGGTGATGGTGGTAGGTGGGGTGGGGTATGGGTCTGGGTTTTTATTATTTACGGTGACGGTGGTGGATGGGGTGGGGTAAGGTTTGGGTCTGGGTTTTTTTATTTACGGTGGGTGGTGGGGTGGGGTGGGGTGGGTTACGGTAATTATGGTGGGTGCGGGGGTGGTGTTAGGGTGGGTCTGGGTTGACGTTGGTGGGGTGGGGGTGGGTTACGGTAACGATGGTGGGGTGGGGGTGGGTTACGGTAACGGTGGTGGGTGGGGGGTAGTGTTAGGGTGGGTCTGGGGTGACGGCGGGGGTGGTGTTAGGGTGGGTTACGGTGGTGGGTGGGTGGAGGGTGGTTGGATTGGGTGGGTGGCCAAATTTTTTCATTTTTTTATTTAATTTATAACTCCTAATTTAGTTATACAACAATATAATTTTAATTTTATAATAGCAAAAAAATTTACAAATTTAAATCAATAATTATATGTAAAAAAAATTGTACTGTTAAATTACATTAAACATCAAATATATTTCGTGGAATTCTAACAAATTGTTAAAGGCTGTAAATAGTTCAATTTGAATGGAACGGGTTGTAAACGGTTCGGTTTAAATAGTTTGTAATCGGATCGGTTTAAACGGGTTGCGGTTTGAAAATAGTTCGGTTTAAACGGTTTAATGGGTTATAACAGTTTGGTTTAAACGGTTAGCGGGTTGTAAATGGTTCGATTTAAACGGTTTTTTCCTACGGTTTAAACGGTTTCGGTTTATAAACGGTTCGGTTTAATTAGTTAGCGGGTTAACATTAATCGGTTCAAACGGTTTCGGTTTATAAACAGTTTGGTTTGTTATTGGTTTACGGTTCGTAACGGGTTAACATTAATTGGTTCGGTTTGGTTTCGGTTTGACATTATACGGTTCAGTTCGGTTTTCGGTTTAAAATTAGCGGGTTATAAACGGTTCGGTCCGTGATGGTTCGGTTCGGTAACGGACGGTTTCACGGTTCGGTTTGAAAAGTCCCACCCTAGTGATATTCTAATTTCAATTTATAAAAATAACAACATAGCACTCTAATAAGACAATATTCTAATATCTATGCTCAATTGCTCACCATAACTCAATTATTTATTTCCTAAATACTAACACAATCAAGAAATTTAGAATATTATGCATGCTTCAATTCCTTTATGCATGTGTAGATGTTCTTTGCCTGTGTAGTAATTAAGCTTCGTGGGATACATTTAATTCATGCATGTGATGTATAATGTTTACTTGAAGCTAAGGTTATTAGATACATATATAATGCATTATTCACATTCAATTCCATACAATTATCCGTTCAAAAAAAAAAAAAAAAACATCCAATTATAGTCATTAAGATCTACTCGATCCGTGTTAAACTATTATCATTAAAATAATACTTCGTACCACATTAAGCTTAAAATTACATATATATATGTTTTTTTTTACGAAGTATCATAATAGCTACATTATTAAGTTTAATATTTAGTGATATTTTATAAGGAAAGATACGACACAAGCATATATATCACAAGGAAAAACCAATAAACTTGAAGTTTAATATGAAGCAAAAATTGAATACAAACCAGAAATCGAATTAAATTAAAAACAATGAGGAAAATAATTAAAGTAATTTACCTGAATAGCATCAATGAGAGGGAGTTCAACAATGGAGGGATTATTAGCTTGTAAATCAGCAACCAAGCACTTTGAAAGACCATTATTTAGGTAAGACTGTCTTACAGTC